CACACACACACACACACACACACACACACACACACACACACCCTAAATCCCTATGCTCATCATTAGACAGCGTTTCTCTGCAGTCTACTGGGAGATGATGCATTAAACAGAGCTGTCTCTGTTAGCGAGTCTCTACTTTTCATCAGTGAATTAGTAACCAAACAAATGCTAATAACTAGGAGTCAGACCTGGGATGAAACATACAAAGAAGCAGCAGGGGACAGACACCCTATGGGGCCAAGAATAACGGTGATGTTCACGTCGTCAAATTTGTAAATGACCCCAGTGAAATCACACCGATAGGGCGAACGCAAATAATCTTATTTTAACACAAACACGCTGAAGTGCTTCATTAAAAATCAAAGCATGTAGGTCAGTTTGGAAACTAGCACAGGCACATTTACATTGTCATTTATAATCAGAGGCTCATCACTGCCACTGATGTGACACTGATTCCTGCTGCCAATTAAGAATCAGGACATGCAGCGACTGCATCTGCTCCACGTTACTGTACCTTTGTTTTCTGCTCTGCAATCTGACAATGCTGTAGTGCCACCTCTGGGATTAAAGATGTGTGAATGAAACAGCTGCACGACGTTAAACTACTACACAATAAAGCAGGAAGTCTTAGATCTGAAAACATCTGGCAGAGGATTTATCTCATTTTAAGAATGTTTGTATCTAAAAATACCTCAACACCAGACTACAACTGCCAAACAGGAAGATTTGATCGAATTGCTCTTTTAGTTCTTCCAGTTTCTGAGGATATTTGAAAGCTTCCTGTATATTTGAACCCAGGTCTGTTACAGTGTTAGTGCCTAAGGCCCCTCTATACCACCAAAGCACAGAGACGTTTCTAGGTAACAAAAACACTCTCACGAAGCTGGGATCATAAAGTATTAAATACAGTAGCGGTCATACTGAACATCATACTGGTGGTGATGATCCCTATTACAGCACTTGTCCGTCATTTCAGGATTTCTGTTTCCCCCCAGAAGCGACAACACACCGAGTCATGTGACATGGAGCGCTGACAAAAACATCTAGTGACCAAACAAAGGCAAATTCTGATTAACTGGAGCCCCCTCCCACCAGAAAACAGCAGTGACGCTGTGACATCTTTCAAACTTAGCGTGCTGAAAAGCACCCGCTGACCCATATAGCTGGTATGAATAATGGAATCATGGCTGTAAAAGTGAGCACTCTTTCTGTTTTCACTCAGCGCTGAACAAACTGCCCGGTGCACAGTGACTTCAGTCGCTGTGAGTAAAACTAGAAAAAGGGACATTGAAGGATTCTGGTGCCCTTGTTGCCTGTTTTCATCTGACATCCATCAGCAGTGAGAAAGTACACAGTGGATTTACATCATGAGGTTTATGGCTGCCTGAACGAGCTTGTAAAGTGAGATTAAGTGGCTTCACTCTAGCTTCACAGCTTGTAAATTGCAGCGTAAATATTTTGTTCGTGGGTAGAAATGAAAATACTAGGTGAGTTCACGGGAGAGGAAATAACCAATTCATGTTTCGAGAAAAACTAATGGAAGTTTTAAACATGGAGCTGTGATTGTGAGTGATCTGATTTTGGGGTATAGACATCTGCACAGCTTCAGAACTTCAGTGTGACGGCACATCAAAGCTCTCAAATCGGTTGCATCAGAGATCAATGTTCATTGGGAGGCAAAGAAGAGAAGAAGGATCTAAAGGAGGAGAGATGACAGCCAGCAGAACTTCTTCTGTGAAACACTTGACATGAGCTAAAGCATCTGACAGACTCAGTCCTGACACTGACACAGCTTCTCAGATTGACCGAGATTGTGTCACAAACTCCACAAGTGAGACCCCTCACCTTCAGCAGTTGTGTGGATATTAGAGGGGAGGTGTCCGCAGCTCGTGCAGAGACGGAGTACAGGCTTCACAGGTTGAGATCGGTACAATATACCAGCTCATTCTCTCCCAGTCACCTCCTGAAGCATTCTGATTTAATCTGAAGATGGGAGGAGAAAGGGATTTTGAGAGAAGGTGCAGGTTGGGTCACAGATGGCAGGAGCTTATTATCATTATTATTTAAAAGAATATTAAATAATCTCCTCCAGTGATTTTGTTTCATACATTCAATTTGACAAAACAAACAATTCAAATTGAATTGCACTGTTACCTCTCATTCCTCACAGGTTACATTACTTTACTGGAGGTTGTCATTATTTAACCTGCACTCAGTTATTAGTGTAATAAATTCATTGTGACGAAATGATTTGTCTGTGTCGTGTCAGTTCCTATAAAATAAATGGACCTCTGCCTGCTGCACCAGTCGTATGGTGGCTGCACAGGTCTACATTTGTTAACGTGGCAAGGGACGAAGCCTAGATCCTATTTTTGGGTGAGGGTTGCTTGTCAGAGCCACAGCAAATGTGAGACAACGCAGAGAACAGTTAAAGATTCCAAAATGTCAGTCAGAGAATTCCTATTTTACATTTTGTCTCCCTGGTGCACTTTTGAAATTACAGACTGTGTTTTGAATGGAGGATGGAGGTCCAGGGTGAGGGAAAGTAATTCAGCACACTGGGGAGCTGAGACACAATGTTTTTGTAGAATGACAGATAAAAATAGCAGCATGCGCCTCCTTTATCTCCCAATCTCAAGTTGAAAATCGGCTCAGAAGTTACAATATTTGCTCCGTCCAGGAATTATGCTGGATCCTTGGCGACCACCCAAACAACAGCTGATTAGAGCCAAACCCTGAGGGCAGTGGAAACGAGATAAACGCTGTTTATGTTCATTTAGGCGGCTTTTGTCGGATGATCTTTTCTGAAAGCAGGTGACGCTTTGTTGTAAAACACAAACAAATACTTATTGTCGATATCTGTACAAGCAGCCATTCGTGGCGACATTTGACATTTGCTTTCTCCGTGCCAACAGATGCTTGCCAGGCGTTTCTTCCACTGATCCCTGACATTTACTGCAGACAAGGAGACAGCAATTTACTGTTAATGAAACGTGGCCTAGATACACTGCTCTGGTTTATAAATAGTCAGCTTCAGTGGCTGTGTTTACATGCATAGAGTAATGCACCGATTGCTCATTCTGGGAGGGAGGCATTGCCATTATTATGAATGAACTTTATTTTAAGATGATAAAATTACTTCAACACTTAAATGACTAGTGATGAATCAGTTTAGGGCTATTCATAGTTTCATGTGTTTTCATACCTGAAGTTGAGAATCATTATGTGTCTGTACCTCAGAACGAGTCCTTTATATCTACGTAGAGAGTCCATCGTTTTTCTCCGCCACGTTTCTGCAGTGACCCAGAACAGACAAACCAAACACTCGCTCTGTCTGGACGCATGGAGAGGCAGGGGTGAGGAGAGCGGAGGCACCTGCGACGGGCACTTAAGATCCATAAATCTGAACTTTCTTCCGCCACTGTTGTGCATGTAAACATGGCCACAGAGAGGACACCTCCATCGTGCTGAACCAGAGGAGGAAGGATGCTCCGAATGTCACGATGCATAAAAACTTCCCTCAACAGGGAACTGAAATTTAGCAGACCCCAGGAGGCTGATGAGTGCAGCCCCGTCTCACACCTCCGACCATGGCTAATCAATCGTGACAGCCGAGTGTGCACACCCTGTGGGTTGCCACACTAACAGACAAGTGGTTCGATAACAGAATATTGATCGGGTGTCTTCGTTTTATTCCCCTCTCTTACCCCCCACACACACACAAGAGTAATCTATCTGTCTTATGAAGCGTAACTGTGGCATCTGATCCTCTTCTCCGTCCTTGAGAAAGTTAAGGAAATCCAGGGGACGTTTGGAAAGCAAAGTGCCACAACTCTAAATGCCACTGATGATGATAGTGGTGATGATGATGGTGATGATGATGATGATGATGATGATGATGTACAGATGGAGATAGGGTCAGGGGCTTTCTGAAGATGTCAAGCACAAGAATTTGATGTTACAAGGTGAAGATATACATTTCTTTTTGCAGGTGCATGCGTGTGTAAACGTGCGGTAAAGCCTCCCAGTCTGACATCTTGTTTCTTTAGTAATGGAGATAACAGGCGGGTTGTCACTGGTGACAAAACTCCAGAAGTTCTTGTTGCTTCGTTCACAAGGAAGATGGTTGCCAGTGTGTCCCAGGTGTGTCACGAATCCTTGGAGTAAACCAGTAAGACCCCTACCCTTCCCTCTACCCCCTATCCCCTATCCCCTGCCCAGGATGGGCCTGCTGAGTTTTTGGCTGCCAGTTCAAATACCCATCAGTCTCAGCTCCCACACTTATGTTGACCGAAGGCAAGAAAACAAATCTCCAGACCATAATCCAGTGTACAGTATTCCTCACAGTTCTTGGGAACTGAACCTTTAAAAGGTGCCCCACCACCATCACCACCCACACAAACTCCCACCCCCACCCAACCCCCCTGAATACCTCTCCTGGCATGTAACTGTAGAGTTTCCACCTTGGATCTGACCTAATAGTACTCCTCGTAGTTCTTGGGATTGAGGCAGTACAGGATTCCCCCGCCGAAGGAGAAGATGGTCCCGCCCCAGGCCAGGCCGTAGCCCCAGTTGAACTCGTGGTAGATTCTCAAGTTGATGCTCTCGATGAACTTGATGGGGTAGAGGACCAAGCTGCAGGCCTGGAGGACAACTGAGACAGACGCAGAAATGAATACTACAAGGAAAAGAAAACAACTCAAATGGCTTGTCGTGTTCGTCAGTCTCTGTGTCTGTATCAGTTTAACCTAAGGTTGATGTGCATGAATGAATCCCATTTCAAAATATCATTGTTTTTAAAGCTTCAACATGATGTATTTCACAGTAGGGTGTCAACATTTGTTCTTTCTTGATTAATAATTGAATTGAAAAGTAGATTCAGAACAAACTCTCTCTGATGTAAAATGGGTCTCCTGCAAAGTTTAATGAGTTTTAGCTTCATGGGATTTGGTCACATAAACGGTTTTTTTTATAGCAGTCATTTACCAAGCAGTTAAGAAAATACAAGAAAAATAACAGAGATGAGCATCAACTAGGTCGAGAGAGGATCTGCACGTCCCGAGGAGGAGTCATGTAGCTCTGCCCATCTCGTGTAGCACGTTGTGGAAAAACGAAATGAATCAAACCCGATCAGAAGGGTGAGAGATGGATAAAAGGGTCAAGTGTGAGAGAAGAAGGGATGGAGGGATGAGGGGATGTMAAAGTAAAAGCACAGGGGGGGGTGTTGGGGAAACGAGGGAAGAGATGGATGGCAGCGCAACACAGGAGAACACATCAATCATTATTTCTTCAAAGGGAATTCATCTTGCGGGAACACAAACAAGCTCAGGCACTTTCCTGCATGAATAACAACATACACGGCTGCATAATTTCCCTAAAACACAAATATTAACACAGGCGGCGTGAAAAACAAGCCTTAAAGAGGTGGCTGCTTGTTATGAAGTGTGTATGTGATCTATCATTCATTGAGGGAGCCTTTATAGTCCACCCAAAAACATTTCGCTCGCGTTATTATAAAACAAGTTCACTTTTTACTGTTTGTTTGTATGTTCAATTATTCATAAATCACTGATCTCTTTCCCAAGCTCTAAAATGATGTAAAATTATTTTTCATTGAAGTATTTAATCGTATTAAAATAATGCAGCACATCTGTAGAAAATTAGTGAATTATTAATGAATAAATAAATGAATGAATAATAATGATGATGATGATTAATAAGGGTAGGGACAAACAATCTCTTTCTTTATGGTAACAACCACAAAAAGACATAATTAGGATTTATTTTTATTTTTTATAGTTTTCAAATCAGTTAACATCAACTTGTGTTGAAATACCAAAACCAAAAAATAATCTCCCTGGTGGAAAAGAGAAATGATTCATAATGACAGCTGTTACACAAACCACAGCATCCAGGAGACTTAAATTAAGACACTGAAGATATAACTACAGAAAACTTTTACATAAAATTTACAGTGAGGGAAATACATGCAGAACCAGTGGCACTCCTACTTCACTTGTCAGCATGTTTTCAAGCTGTAAACGTTCCGGTGTGTGTTTGTTTGCTGCGGCTAAAGAGGGAAAAGCTTCTCAATCCCTCGAGCATGCAAAATGATTCTATTTGAAGGAGCAGTCGAATGTCAATCCAGAAATAATAAGTGTGTTTAATTCTCGTCCTTTCACGCTTTTCATTTTTCATACATACTTTGAAAGCATTTTTTCGGGATAAGGAAAGTTCCAGTTAATGACAAATCACAATGGGTCTCTAAATCTCTGCACAATCCTTCTAAGTTATTTCCACTTTGGTGCCGTGTTTTGCTTCTGTGGTTTGCACAGTGTGATTGAGAAAACCCCCTCACAGGCAACACATGCAGCTTTGCAAAATCAAACATTCATCTTAAAGAAAAATGATATTTTCATACTATTCTGGGAGCTGAGATTGTAGAAACTTCACAGTTGTCCAACTCCAGATTGGGGCTGACAGGGGAAATTAAACGGACAGACGTGACGCCCCACTGTGACCCTGCTGGGCTCGAATCATGAAAATAGGATTTTGCCTTGATGAGTTTGAGGGAGAGAGGGATTGTGTATGAGGATATGTGTGTGTGCAGTCTGTGTGCCTATTTAATCAGTAAGTGAGGATTATCATTTGAATGCATGTCAGTTTTCAATGTGATTACCTTGCAACCTTCCAGTTACCTTGTCTAAATTGGTTAATTAAGTAATCTGTGAATGTGTGTGTACGTGTCTGTGGGTATTTTAGTGCATAATGAATGAGTGGCCTTTAACCCAGGACTGGAGGGATTGTGTCTGGACAGTTCGTGTGCTCATGTGTGCACTGACCTGCAGCGAAGAGCATGAAAGCGACGGGTGCGTAAAATCGCCGTCTTGTACCAATGCACACGGCAACCAGAGCGACCAGGAATGACATCAGCACCAGGGCTCCACCCCCTAGCAACAGGGCCAGTGTAGCAACCTGCCAGTCTGGGCAGGAGGGGCAGAAAGAGAGGAGGAAGATGAATAGAAACATTGTTAAGGGACGTAGGAAGAAAAGAGTGACCTCAAAGAAAAGAATAAACATTAAGTGTACATTCATGAATAAATGCAATATGCATACCGGAGCTAAAAATGAAATGCACAAGACCTTGATGGTGACCTGGGAGGAGAGACAGAGCCACACATTATTTGATTTGACATTTTATATATTACTGCCTTTACCTCCATCAAGTACGTTGATCAGGGAGAGGAGGCATGAGAGAGGGAGCAATGAACAATAAAAACGGGGAGTATGGTTATGAAGGAACGAGAGTTAAGGAAAGATGGTAGTCAAGGGAAGGTAAAAGAGAAGAAAGGGGGAAGACAGAAGGAAAGTATGAGTGCAATGGAAAGATGGAAGGAAATGGTGGAAGGTAAAAGGAAGAGCGTGGGAGGATAAAATAGATGAAGGGGTATAGAAGGAAAGACACTGAGAGAGAAAGTTAAGAAAAGAAAAGAAATAAACTGCAAACAGAAGGAAGCATGGGAGGCAAGGTATGACAAGCAGATAGAGGGAAAGGACGATGGAAGGTGAATGAATGAAGGGGAGAAAGGAGAGATGGAGGAAGTAGAAAAGCAAGTGAGGAACAAATGAGTAAATAGAACTGCACAAAAAACAAAGGGAATCAAGGAACCAGGGGGAACTGAGGAAAAACAGGAGAGACAAGTTAAATGAAGAGAGGCTCAGTGGTGGAGAGCGTGGTCTCCGAGAGGGTGATGGGGGATAAGAGAGGAGGCACATGTGAGTGGAGGGGTGCTGGCATAATGTTACAAGGACAGAGAGAGGGCAGCATGAAAAGAAATGCCAACAGGAGGAGAAGGGCAGGAGGAGGAGGAGGAGGAGGAGGGTGGTGAAGGCAGAGGGGGGTAGAGGGGGTGAGGAGGAGGGCGTGAAGAGGCTGGGGACCGAGCAGCACCGAGTGAAAGTAATGAAGAGAGAAAGCACTTTGTATACCTGAGCTGACAAAAAGCTTCGGCTAAAAAGCTTTGCTGGCACGTTATCAAACGTCTCTCTGCATATATATATATATGTGTGAATGTACTAGAACACACACACACAGATACAACTTATTTAGAAAGTCACACACAAACCTGGGAGCAAATATTACATCAATGTCAACATTTGTGCGTAATCGGCTGCTGTGTTCAGCCAGGGCAGGTTTTTATACGCTGCACATTCGAATACAAGGAGACGAAGAGACGAGATGTGGACATGAAATATACGTTGCGTCACATAAAGGCACGAGGAGCTGGAAAAGTTTTAACTTGAGCAAAGAAAGTCCTGTCCAGTTTGGGGTTAACACAGAATAAAAATTCTTTCTGAGTATATTTAGTATGGAAGCGACTGAATCCACTAATCATGACGACTCCTCTTGAACTAAATACAGTTTTGATGCAGACATTCTATTAGAGGCAGGACATAAACGCAGGCCCACAGGCGCTCATCCACGCTCTGTCATTTAATCCACAGGGAGAAAAGATTTGACTGTTTCTCTGACCTTTTCTTCCACCTGTCAGTCCTCACGCTGTGATCAGATGTGAAGCTGTCAAATTGGCAGGCTAATGTAAGCTGCTGCAAAATCTGTTTCAGCACAACACCACCAAACCTGAGAGGGCTATAATACAAAAACACACACATTACATAATCTGTACTGCTTAAGGACAGAAACTAGCTTTTAACAGACAAACATTGAACTGCAACTTCTGGATAAAACATAAATGAAGCACATGTGACAGAACTGTCGCTGTGGGTGTGGACGCACAGTCACTGCACAGTAGATTGTTTCACTGCAGAGCTATTTAACTGAATTCATCTTTTTTATTTTACTACGCATAATGTATAAATACAGGCCATGCCTAAATGTACTGCTCTAATGTGGTATGAACGACAGATGGAGGAGGAGAGACATAAGGAGAGATGAGAGATTTAGAGGGAGAGAGGGACATGAGATGAGATGCAGAGATGGATAGCGATAGGCAGAGAAAGGAGGAAATTAAAGATGAGCAATAGGGAAGGAAAGATTATTGAGAGCAATAGAGAACAGAAGGAAGAGCTGAGTATAAAGATATATAAGGCACTGACTTATTAAAATGATAAAGCAACTCAAAAACAGTTTGAAAGATGTTGCTGATTAGGACGGTCGTCTGGACAAACACCTTTCCTGGCAACGTACATGAAAACCAAATTAAGTTATTTCATCCTTTATTTTACACTGGCGACCCGTCCAGGGTGGACCCCGCCTCTCGCCCAGTGCCAGGTCCCCCTGCGACCCTCGAAGGATGAGCTGTATAGATAATGGATGCAGGGCTGGATGGTTAAATGTGATCTGCCCATGTGGGTTTACGTGCACATGCTTGCATCTGTTTTTTTTAGGTTGGCCCTTCAAGCAAAAGAAAGACAAAGAATCACTAGAGGTCAAATCTACAAAAGCAACAAGACTGTGGTAAATCAGATGCCCCCTGAGAGATGCCCAGAAAGCTGCCCTGTATCAGCAATGCAACAAGATATGCAGGAGTAGAAGGATGGATGTGAGGCAGATGGAGGGATGGAGGCGCAGGGTGAAAACAAAGCTCTCGGGGTCTATCAGATATTCACATTCAGCTTCCCTTAAAGGACGGAGAGCTGGTTTGCTCTTTTGGAAGCAGCAGGGATGAAACGCAGCACGGAACTACAAGGCACCAAATAACCAATAACCAAGCAGACTCTGGATTTATCATTTGAATTTAATTAAAATCTGCAATTCAAATTAAACAAATTTATAAAAATTGTAGATTAACTTTTATAAAACGCTTGTTAGTTAAAATGGAAGGATGGGAAAACAAGAAGACATTTTGTTTGTTGACGTTCACAGAGAGTGCAGTATCTACATGTCTTTTGGGGTTTTATGTTAATTGTGTGATAATAATTTATAATCAGTCCAATATGATTATTTTCACACAAAACAAGACCTTTGACTAGAAGGAAAGAAGTTTGATGATGAGAGGAATAACTAGTGTTTATAATGGATCATTTAGGAGAGGGCAGGTTTTTATTTGCTGCCGTATGCTGCTGCTGTGATACTGTTTGAAGAAAGCATGATTTGCATCCTCCACAGGTGGATTCTATTTGTCTGGGCATACGCACATCCCTGTGTGTGTGTGTGTGTGTGTGTGTGTGTGTGTGTGTGTGTGTGTGTGTGTTGGCTTTGGCAGACGGGGGGGCGGCTGTAGGTTCCTTGCTATTCCCTTGTCTGTCTGCCACAGAACTGAATGCCACATCATTTCCCCATTCCTCATTCAGCAGCTACAAATAGAACGGGGTGTCTCTGGGGGCTCACTGCGAGGAGAGATGGAGTCATACTAAAGGAGGGGATGAAGGGGGTGAGGGAGGAGGTAAAAAGGGAGAGAAGGGAAAAAGAGGGAGAGGAGGTTTGACCCTGGAGAAAATGTAACTGAGAAATGGAGAGGGCTGAGGATGGTGAAATTACAAAGAGGAAATGATTAACATTAGAAATGTAACAATGAAGCCCTCAGGGAAGAGAAGGGGAAAGGAGGTGGGGAAGGGAGGAAGACAGGAAAAGAAAATGAATGACAAACGAAAAAGAAGATGAAAAGCTGGGTGCAGGATTGAGGACCGAGACAAAAGACAATTCGTTTAGGAGTACAGATGAAGGGCCGGGAGAGGAGCAGTGGATGGATCGATAGTGTGATAGTGAAAGATGAGAGGGGCAGAGAGCGAGGAGTCAACGATCACAAGGTTTTGGGGGCTTCAGTGGTGCATTACCTCAAATCTATGACAACAAAGACCAGTGAACGTGGGCATACGGGCTAAAAGCTACACCACTGCACATTTGTTTAAAATCACAAATCTGAGTGTGTCATTTATTTTCATAGTAGTAATTCCTGGTTAAACAAACATATATCGTGAGAGAGAGAGAGAGAAGTGGAGGTTTCATCATGTGAGCCCCGGAAATCTTCTCTCAAGGTCAGATGAAGGACAAAGCTATAGGTAGTAGTTGTTAAAAAGAAAGACAGCGGGAGGACGAGGCATGCAGCTGCAGGTCAGCAGCTTTTATTGAGCTTCACTCAGAAATGACAGCACGTTTATGGATTATGGTGTGAAATGTGTCCATTCATAAATGTGAAGTCAAAAACCATCTAACATAATTGTTTGCTTTCAAAAATCTACAACAAACAGCTAAAAAGTAAAATGCAGAGAAATTGATTTGTATCTAAAACTGCAATAAAATAAGAACCCTCCTTTATGCCTTTGTTTTCCTCTCAGTTGAATTAATTAGAGGCTGATGGTGTTGTGAATAAAAGATTTCTCATGCCGACTGAGGTATTACACGATCACAGAACTCAACTGAAAAGCACTTTTCTCGCGCTTGTTGTTGGAACCTGAGGATGCTCCCTCATCTGTCTAACCTTCGTGTACCTCACGTCTCTTGAGTTTCTTAGTTAAATATCAGTTTTTCTCATGTTTTTGAGCTGTTTAAAGAGCTAATGTGTGCAGAGGTGTCGTTATAGTAAGTTGGTTTAAGGAAATACTAAATAATGTGTTTTGCAGTTTCAAAGAGGAAACTAAAGACTATACAGTGCTGTTTTTCTTTATATCATTTTCTTGTAAGCCTTCTATGGCGATTCCCCGGGAATGTATTACAATCACCCAAAGAGTTTTAGAACAATAAAAGCGGGCATGATTGGGCCTTAAGGGCACATATAGAAAAAAAGAATCCTATTTGGATATTGATCATTTTTTCTTTACAGCGGTACAGGAGAGCAAATGAGTACCTGCGAACTCCAGCAGGGGCAGCACTGTCACAATGGATGAAAAGGGTGAGCTAAATTAAAAGAAACTGCTGCTTTGGTCTGTCTCTGTCTCGGGAACAAGCCGAGGGGAGCTGGCCAAACAGGGAGTGATTTATTTTTTAACATCAATGTGTGTGCATTGGTAAGACTCACACACTTACGAGCCAACACACATCTGCTGCACCAAGACACCTAATTAGGGTCCTGGTCTGGAGACTGCATGTGTGTGTGTGTGAGAGGGACAGAAAGAAAGGAAGGGCTGAGAGTTGCGGTCACAAATTGTGCCTGTGTGTGTCAGTGTGTGTGTGGGTGAGTCTTAGGAGAGAAGGTGCAGACATGCAACAACAGAGAAATCAGAGAGTGACATGAAATATTCAGCTGGGCTTCAGAGGAGACTGTCCAGAAATAGGTCTCCTCAACTTGGTAGCCTCCAAACACACACACACACACACACACACTAATTTACACTGACATGCAGGCACCCAGGCTGTGTCACAAACACAGACACAAGAGGAAACACTGCAGCCATTCACTTACATCCAGATACACACACACTGTGCAGTTGCAAAAAATGCACACACAGACACACACAATCAGACAGTGTGTGTGTGTGTGTGTGTCTGGCAAAAATATGTGTGTAGTAAAGATGGCTGGATGGATAGAGAGATAGAGAGAGAGAGAGAGATATAAAGAGATATAGACAGAGAGATAGATGTCATCTTAAGTAATTAGCCCCAGTCAGCTCCTCCTGTCACACACTGAAGGCATTTTAACTCAATTAAAGTAACGCTCATGAACTCTGTTTCCCTAGAAATCAATCCAACATCAGACATCAACCTCTCCTGCCCTGCCCTAAAACTGCAAGTCCTCTCCTGGGCACAACAACAAGGCCGCTACCCAGACAACAAAAGAAGGGGCTGGATCATAAAAAGTACCAACGAGACTTGGATGAGCTTTGTATCGAGCGTTTTCTTTTTAACCTCCTCTTCCTTCTCCTCTGTTGAAAAATGAATGAATTAGATGTCCGTAAGACAACACCCAGCAGAGCTCACATGCTTCACCGTGGAGGTGGTGGTGCTCTTGCTGCATTAATCATCTCGATGGTCACGATCATGAAGTAAAGAGCCTGAGAATGAAGAGCATCACTTCCACCAAGGCTTCATATTTTATTTTTATTTCCCTCAATGGACCCACGAGTATGTGCAGTATGTAGTCTTACGACTGGGTTTAAAAACCTTTTTAGATGCTTTTTAACCATTCATTTGGAACATAAATCACATGCATAAAACTTTCATTTGGGGGCTGTACCTGGCTGCGGGCTGGGAGAAATATTCTGAGGAGCTGGAACAACTACTTCTGATATAAGCGAGTGACTAATTATCAAATTTGTTATTGATTTCTGTCTGTTAATCACCTAACTGTGCCAGATTTGATAGATTTATCAGACCTCGCTGCCCACTGGTGGTCCACCTCCCATCATCCATGTTTCCACAAACCCCTCTCTGAAGGGCAGTCAGTGACTTGTGCATCTATGTTTGTGTGTTTTCCAAAATCTCCCATGCTGCCTCTGATGCAGTTGGTTATACCTGCACCAAAGTTACATTTTTATCTATGATCCATTTTCTCTTCACAGTCAAAAGCCAGGATCAAATAAGCTAAACTTACTCTGAGTGTGATTCTGTTTGATGTGAAGAGCCCAGAAACATCCCTTCACTTCACCTCCACAATAATTAATGTGAGCTCCCGGTGGAGTCTCAGGGGCTGTCAGGAGGAGGCTTTGATATGGTTGGATAGAGACAGTGGGGAGCACAATTCTGGTCAGGACAATATCTTTCTATGGCTTGTTTCCCTCTCCCCCCTCTACAGGTGATGAAGCATCCCTCCATCATCTTCATCAGCTTCATCTCCTGCTGTCAACCAGAACAACTCTTTGTGCAAGAACTGTAACAAACACCAGTGTGTCCTGCCCAGTGTGCACGGGACAGGATGTTGTTATAATCTTAAAAAAGCTCCATGCATGCATTGGGACACCGTCCCCCCCACCTCCTCGTTACCTGAGCCCAGGGTGCTGCTGCACTGCCAGTTCTCGGTGCTTGCCGGTTTCCAGCAGGACTCCCACAGGGACAGGTAGTACTGGTCGTCGGCGGTCACCCACGCCGGGCTCATCACGGCTCCCACGTCCAGACAGAGCGCCAGGAACACGCAGACCAGCCCGACCAGTTTGAGCGGTGTGAGCGGGGAGCTGCGCGCCGACTCCTCCGTCTCGGTGACAGCAGAGGACATGGCGAAGCTGTTGAGGCGGAGAGGGTCCAAACCCCGGGGAGGATGTGGCTGTGGCTGCGCCCGCGTGTGAGTGTGCGTGGATGTGGATCTGCGCGCTGGTGCGTCCCCTCCTCACGCTGCGTGCGTCCCCTCCTCACGCTGCGTGCATGGACACGAGAGTCTCCGCGGAGTGTGGAGGACGCTGCCGGTGCTGGAGCCACCGCAGCCGCCTGCGTTGCGCGCTGGACGGACTCTCCGCCTGTGGCGCACCGGAGACCTCTGTGTTTACTGCGCTGACGTCAAGGCTCTGAGGGATCAGCAGGTGCTACAGGGTCCTAGAGACACCGAGAGGGACAGGAAGAAAAATACTAAGATGCTGAGCTCACCTTTCCTTAGTTACTTTGGCATTTTAATACAAAATGATGGTGTGAAATAATAGTTCCCTTTTGTTTTTCACTTTCAACTTTGCATATGAAAGACAAGGTTTTATTAGTCTGTTCATTCTATACTTTCTATAATCCTTACACGTAAGTACTGCATGTTACTAATTACTTACTGATACATATTTTTGACTCTTGCTGCTGTAACATTGCAAATTTCCCCATTGTGAGACTAATAATGTTAGATTTTGTTGAGGATTTCTTTTGCAGTGGAGGGAGAGGCACAGAGCAGAAGAGAAAGGCAGAGCAAACACAGTGATGGAGAAAGTGGGAGGCACATGAAGGAATATTATTGTTTCTTCTGCATGCTAATGCCAGAGCCAGAGATGAGACAGAGCGAGACAGGAGGAGGGAGGCCGACAAAGCAGAGGGCGAGCTGGTGTTTATTCAACCAGAGAGGAAGGAGGGATGGAGAGACAGATAGAAGGAAAGCATGGCCTTGTTTACTCTCCAACAGGACAATAATGAGTGATGATGAGCGAGGAGACAGGAGGAGACAGGAGGAGGCAGAGAGGAGGGGAAGAGAGGAGAGGGCAAGAGATAGAGGTGAATTGATAGAGGTGAATAGACTTTCTGTTGATCCACATCAGTTATTCACAGCAGAAATATCCTCTGGCCCTGTTTTAACCCAGAGACACCGTCCCTCAGATTATTATTCTATGCTTTTATAAAACAAACCATGGTATGTTGTTGATCTTTTGGATGGAATATACCAGGAACACCCAGGAGGCTCATCATGACGTCCTGCACAAACATACACCTGGACTCAACATGGCCTGATTAGAATTTGGAGGTCAAAGGTCCAGATGAAAAACTCCAGGGACAGTAAGAGTGGAGTTTTCAACCCAAATGTGTCGAAGCCAAAGAAAGTGCTTGCGTGCTTTCATTCAGTCTCACTAGTAAGAAATAAGAAAGGATCTTTGTAGCTGCACAGTAGGGAGGGGAATAATCTCAAACTACAGATAAAAAGCTACTAAATGTTCCGGGTATTTTCACACATTTATTTATTTATTCTTTACTTTATACTTTGGCATAAATGTCCTTTATTTTTTCAAAATATAAACAGACGAAGATACAAATTTCAAAATATATATTGCTCTACTCCATTCATACATACTCATCAAGAAAGCTAGGTTTATTTGACAGGATGTCAGCAGCTCACTCTTGGATCCCTTGTGGTGGGTCCCTCCTGTCAATATGGCACTCTGTCACAATCTGAGCTTATTGACTGTGACTTTTGTTTGATTATTATTGCCGCCTTAATGGCCTGTTGTTAACGCACAGTACCAGATGGTTGTCTGGTGCTGCTGTGGTGTAATAAATGGCTCTGATATCAAACTAATGAGACTGACTAATCTCTGAGAGGAAGAATCACAGTCACGCATTGTAAATATAAAACACCCAACACAAGAAGATTACTAATCCTAACTGAAGATCAGAATTTCAGCATGAGGTCTCCTTGTGTCTGTCTGTCTGTCTGTCTGTCTGTCTGTCTGTCTGTGTGTGTGTGTGTGTGTGTGTGTGTGTGTGTCTGTCTGTCTGTCTGTCTGTCTGTGTGTGTGTGTGTGTGTGTGTGTCTGTGTGTCTGTCTGAAAGTGAACAAAAGAAAGAAGAAATGTGGAATTGGGAGCAGTTGCTGCTTTTGTCAAGGACCGACAGAACGACCGAACAGGGGAGAGAAACGTCTCACGGTGAAGGTTGAGTTCGGATAAAAGGCGTCAAACACCTCGAGTTAACTTTCAATGCTTCACTTCAAATACTGAGATAAGCAGCAGAAAGTGAACGAACAGGCAGAACGCTCTATCTCTGAATGAGAGTGACAGTAACATGACACTTCTTCAGTTCGAAAATCGAAATATCAACAGAGACAAATGTGTATGAACCAAGAATAATGTGTTGGTTATAAATATAAATGATAAATATTGAATGTGAAGTGATTAACAGCGGAGAGACAGAGTCCTCAGGAGGTATTTGAAGATAAAGAGGCTGGATTCACCAAGTTTAAACTAAAATATCCACAAAGACTTTGTGTAGTCCAGATTTGAAATTGAATATGAACCTCCATGCTATCCTTCATGTTTGTTTATACACATTCATTTATTTCCTTTGAGTCCACAGAGGCAGAAAATCTGGTAGCAACAAATATTTTATTTCAGCTTGGAGAACAAAATTCATCTTCCGAACGGTATTTTATCTTATTTCAAAACACTACAGACAACGGCACGGCGGGGAATTGGCAGAGAGCTTGCTGAGATAAAGTAGTTCTCTTGAGACGAGGGCACACGCTGACCGGTCGGTGTGCACTTGGCATTATTCATACAGACGGCAGAGAACATATCATCTGAATAAACCCATCTGAAACCTTAACCATCACTTTGTCCGCTGAAATAATATACAAAATGATTCCATTGAATGAATATTATGTATGTTTTTTACTGAACTCATTGAAGTGTTGTCTTTGTCCACTCAGGATGAGGTGGAGACGTTCATTAGTCTGCTCCTCGTTACCACAGCTTATTTCTTTAAATGTGTTCAACATATTTTCGACCCCAGAAACCAAGATGTGGTATTTGAGGTATTAAAATCCCATTTGATCATTTGCATGTCCAACATGGGAATCAGCTCATTTCTAAATCAAATGCTTCCTCACTGTGGCCACATCCTCGTCTCTACTGAGACACAACATAAGCTTCTAGACCACGCGTCGGACGAGACATCCTGCGTTTACATGCACACCAATATCCATTAGAAGGTTGAAGATTATAGCAAAATAAAAAAGTAAAACCCTGGCCCATATGGGTGCTAATAAAAATTAATGAGTCCCTGTGAGTGGAGGGACTCAGTGTCTTCCTCAAGGACACTTGAGTGGCTTCAGATGAGACACAGGAGATACAGCAACAGCAGGCATTGAACCGAGGACTTCTCAGTGCAGTGTTGCATTGATCTACAGTGCTGAATAAAGTATGCAGGTTTCTTACTTGAGTAAAAGTACCAGTGGATCAATGTGAAAATACCCTAAAGTTCTGAAAGCCCTGCAATCAGAGTGATACTTGGGTTTACAAATTGAAACAGTCACACTTGTTCCAGATGTGAAGTTCAAACAGAACAAGGTTGTGTTGATCCATTAAAATTCCACATCAAGCTATCTTATCTTTAATATTTCTTTGCAGTCTGATAATAACAACAGTGTTTTTGAGCTTCTGGTGAGCATCAATACCAAACCAATGATTTTTAAAGGAAGAAATTGATCCATTATCCATTTGCTACTAAGTTCACATAATGGAAGAGTGCACAGCATAAGTCTATATTTAATTTTCAGAGTTTGATTACAGCCGCTTTGCAATATGCACACATTACACAGTGTAGAACAACAGATCTGTGCCACAGAGAATTCATTATTCAAATCAACACCGACTGCAAGTCATAAATACTGATGTGATGTTTGTTTTCTTCACCTAGGAATAAACACTATTTCAAGAGGCTTTGGTTTTGTGTTCGTACATGATTGTCAAGAAGTTTGGTGAAAGGGAATTCAACTTGGGATGTGACGTGAACACAAATGTATGCCTGTAAACACAAAACCTATCGGACGGATCACCATGAAACCTGGTGGAAGGATGCAGTATGGGTCCTGAAAGAACTGTGCGTATGTGCTGTCTGAGTGCAATCCTGGTTTCAACTTTGGGTTGAGGAAAAAGTTGAAAAAAGGAAAAGGGACTAAATCCTCTGCAAAGTTTTTCATCTTCTTTCTACCCTGCGTGTGATGATGGGTTATTATTATGTCGGTTCATTAGCATATTTCATATCCTGCTGCTGAGTGTCTGCACCTCTCTATCTGTCTCCATCGGCAGCGGAGACCACACAGGTGCTGAACCCTCGCTGAGGGTGGCTTCACAACACACACTGCGGTAAACATACACAAACAGTAGCACCTTAATCATTCACCACGAAATATGCACACAACCATCAGTCAGGATAAGAGCTTCAAAGTAACAACACATCTAAAATGAATGAAGGCACGCGCACGCCACACACTCGTACATGCAGTCTGTCAAGTCATCAAAGCTGCTTTCAAATGTGTCGCACAACGTTCAGCCAAACCACACAAACACATGCCCGCTCTCCATCACACACAAGTGCTGCTTTGTAAGACACTTGTGTGTGCACAGGATGATTACTCTGACAATCTACACTCATCAGAAGCATGAAATATGCAACAATGTGTCTCTCACACACAAGCGCGTGTATGTGATGATTTTTTTTATGTGTCAGAGTGTGAGTTTTACAGCAGTGAAAAGAGGAACAGGATGAAAGCAGGGATGAGCAACTTCTCCCTCATTCTCCTCTGTCGTGTTCACCAGAGGGAGTTTTGGTAGGTGTGCGCTCACATGCTCACACACGCACGCACACGCACACACACACACGAATGCAGACACATGCAGCACTCGTGTGGCGATGCCACAGCAATAATTAGATTTCACTTCAAAGATACATGGCGTTGTTTCGGTGGGAGAGCGGGCTGAAGCGTGGCTTCCTGCTCAGACTGGCAGGTTAGCGACCAGGGCTGCTCTGACCAGACCGTGTCTCCTCAGTGTGGTGTCATGTACTAATACTGCATTTGTGTGTTTAGATATCTGACTGACAAGTACGTCCACATTCATTCACTCCTCTCGTACAAATATTATCCATGA